TTGTGGCCTTCACAATGTCCTTGGCAACAAGTTCCATGGATTTATTGTGTATTGTGTGAAGAAGTACTTCCTTCTGTTTGTTTTAAACCTGCTGCCTATTAATTTAATCGGATGACCCCTAGTTCTTGTATTATGCGAAGGAATAAATAACACTTCCTTATTCACTTTCTCCATCCCATTCATGATTTTATAGACCTCTATCATATTTCCCCTTTAGTTGTTTCTTTTCTAAGCTGAACAGTCCCAGTCATTTGATTTCTTCTTGTATGGAAGTTGTTCCATATCCTTCATCATTTTTGTTGCCTTTCTCTACACCTTTTCCAGTTCTAATATATCTTTTTTGACATGAGTTGACAAGAACTGCACACAGTATTCAGGGTCTGGGAATGCCATGGATTTATATATAGTGACATTATCCCTTTCCTAGTGGTTCCTAACATTCTCTTAGCCTTTTTTGACTGCTGCCGCACATTGAGTGGTTGTCTTCAAGGAACTCTCCACAATGACTCCAAGAATCTAATAGCCAATTTAGACCCATCCATTTGGTATGTATCGTTGGGGTTATTTTATAATGATCAACACTGAATTTTATCTGCCATTTTGTCATCCAGTCACACATTTCAGTGAGATCCCTTTGTAACTCTTCTCAGTCAGCTTTGGACTTAACTATTGTGTGTAATTTTATATCATCTGCAAATTTTGCCACCTCACTATTCAACCCTTTTTCCAGATCATTTATGAATGTGCTGAACAGCAGTGGTCCCATTACAGATCCTTGAGGGACCCCGCTACTTACATCTGTACATTGTGAAAACTGACCATTTATTCCTACCTTTTGTGTTCTATTTTTTAACCAGTTATTGATCCATGAGAGGATGTTCCCCCGAATCCCAGGATTGCTTAATTTGCTTAAGAGCCTTGCATGAGGGACCTGGTGAGGGATATATTTTTCACTAGTCTTGTTTTTCAAAATGGCTGAAATGTCTTGCCTGAAACTTTATTTTAAAAGCAGCCTAAGGCTGACACGCAGCATATAAAATTTCAGCCTGAACAGTTAAAATCTGGCAAAGTTCTAAGTAACTGAAAACAGGGCTTTATAATGCGAAGAGTCGGATAATAATACCAGATGGCACTGCCGCCAGCCCTGCCTATGGTAGCTAACACATACACCCGTAGTATAAACAATTGCTTCACAGCAAATGAAATCCAGAGCTAAACTATTAAAGGCATAATAAAATTAAATAAATGAAAACAAGAATATTAGAAAATGATTCCATAGTTGTAAAGTATAGACTGTTGGAGGCAAATGTCATCCTCTTCATTGCACACACACTCACGCTACCTATATACACTGTGAATCAACATGTTTCTACAATATTTAATGTAGTTGAAAGAATAGTACAGTATGATCACACAATGTAAGCACATATTTTGTCTTCCATGTAATGCAAATGAGTGAACAGATTTTTCAAGAATTCGATATTTGCAAATATTAATAACCTGACTCACTCCCTGAACAGATGTCTACAGTAGCTTTGTCCTGATTATAAATTCAAATTTGCCTAAATTCATTGTTGGTAGGAAAATGGTAACTACAGACAGCTAAAGTAATTAGACCTATAAAATATTTAGAGAAAGTGCTATCTCCTCCGTGTGTGGTGTTGGGATTCTTCATGCAAGTCAATCCTGAAATGTACGATAAAAAAATTTGCTCTGATCAGAGCACAAAGGATGTTTTTATACCACATACTAAATATATAAAACACAAAATATTGTCACTTTTGAGAATGATAGCAGAGCTTGGCATCCTAATATGATTATTTGCCAATATTTCTTCCATGCTTAGAACTATAATTAATAATGTGCATCTCCTGTTAGCATTGTGTATACATATATATTCAAAAATAGTAGGACACAAATGTCAAGTGAATATATTGTGTTGTATGTATTTGAACAATTATACAAATAGCTGACTGGCTAATATATATTTCTCCAACACATCAGAAATAACATCTGAGTGGCATTCAAACTGTTTGTGCTGTTAGGTTATCTCTGTATCTATTTATCTTGTTTCAAATACAGGTGAATGTTTGCAGTCACTGATACACACAAAGTGAAATATGCTATCCATCCATGTACAGTCCTGAGTGATGTTTGTATTTTTCTTCCAGAGGTTCTTTCTCTTTAGTTTTATGCTTTTATTTATCAGTCTCCACTGTCTGATATAAGAAAAGGACTTGATAGTTCAAGGATAAACTTTAGAATCTGACTTTGTCATAAAAAGATTGCTATAATGAAAGGAGCTGACAACACAAACAAAAAAATCAAAGTTAAGATGAGTAATTAAAGTTAATGCTATATCCTTAATTGTAATGTGCAAACACCATACCTGTCAATGGGGACTCAATCTTCAGATCACCACCACTAAAACCAGAGGCTTCTGTGAGCAACAGGCGCACTCTTAGTTGTGAAAAAAGAGGAAGCTGGTGTAGTCACTGCATCTAACTACTAGAAGGAGACTCTCATAAAATTCTGTACTCTAGGTTGGTATATTATACATGGATAAAGGAGCAGCAGAGAAAAACCTTTTTTTGTGGGGTGTCACCAAATTCCTGTGAGGTTGTAGGAATCTCTTTTTGGTTTGGGTCTGCTTGGATTTTGCAACCCTGAATTTTGCTTTGATTTCAGGTACAAGTGAACCATTAAAACTAGAAATTCCTGATCTGGGGTTGAAACACTTTATAGCCAATGAGTTTTATAATGTTTACACCAAATATAACAACTTGGCAGGTTTGCTCAGAATTCCACTCAAACTCTGGGTTTGTACTAGCATCAGGTGTTTTGTCCTGTTTGGGACTTGTGTGTGTGTGTGTGTGTGTGTTAAATTTTTGCACATCTTTAGTATTTACCCATTATATATGTGCTCTGTTAGCACCTGGATAAAATGAGGTGTGTTTATAAACTGGCACTCTGAATTTCTTTACTTCTTCGGTTTAAATCAAAACTGTTGTGTCAGAAGAATCAGTTTTTGGTGTTTTTAATTTTGAATTTACCATACCATAAGAAAATAGAAATGGTTTCAGCATCCCAGCAAAATATGTAAAATCAATGGTCAAAATCTCCTCTTATTTACTTACCCTGAGTGCAACACAAGTGGGTTAAATAGAGGTGTTCAGGATGTAAGGACAGAATTAAACTCCTAGGGCTTGATGCCGAGTTATGCAAAGGTGACTTTACATGATTGGCATTCTCTTTAAGGCCCCATACACTTATAGAGTGGTAGGAAACAGCCTTAGTGAGCATTTTGAAGCATATAAAATGGCAAGTATCTGTTGTGCCTAGTATTTATGTTCAGTCAAACCAATTAAAATTTCTTTGGGCAGGAAAACATTTTTTTGATAATGTATGTCAACTGTACTTGTTTTTGAATGTAAAAGAGATGTTCGGGCAATATAGGACAGCGTTTGTACCACACCTAGCACAGTGGTGTCCAAGAGCATATCTGTGGCTCATAGGTGCTACTGCAATACACGATAGATCACCACATACAAGACCAAATTTCAAAGAGGTCACAAAATGACCTCCACTCGAGCAGGCAAAACTTTTCCATACAAACAATTTGCATGTATATATTTGAGCAATGTCACATGAGTGCTAGAATTTATCAAGTGCTAGGATCTCCCATCTATCATGAGTGATAGCACTAAAAAATAAAAGCATGTGCATAATACACAAATGGAAACCTGGTTTAAAAAATTGCCTTGTTATGTATATCTATTCCGTGATGTGCTTATTTTTGCCAAGAGTGTTTTGTTTTTTGTGGGCCATATATAGCAATTGATCTTGATTTGCAGCTCCCGTTGTGTGATGATAGGTTTCGGGATGGGCCAGCTGGGTTTGGATAAAATAAGAAGCAACCTAAAACTTGACTCACACCTTTTCCAGGGAGTAAAAGTTTCAAGGAACTTTCAACCTTTTTTCCCCATTTATTTTTTATTTTATTGCATTTTTTCTATGCCTCTGAACTTCCTACTTCTGTTCGACTGGTAAGGTCTGTACCAAAGGCCATTGAAACTCCAGTCAGAGTTTTTCTGCTTATTTCAGCTTTGGATCTGGTCTTAGAAGTAAAGGACTGAATATCCATTTTCATAAAATCACGGAAATGTAGGTCTGGAAAGGACTTCAGGAAGTCATCAAGTCCAGCCCCCTGCATTGTGGCAATGTCAAGTGAACTTAGACCATCCCTGACAGGTGTTTGTCCAGCCTCTTATTAAACACCTCCAGTGATGGGGATTCCACAACATCCCTTGGAAGCCTATTCCAGAGCTCAATTATCATTATAGTTAGAACATTTTTCTTAATATCTAACCTAAATCTCTCTTGCTGCAGATTAAGCCCATTACTTCTTGTCCTACCTTCAGTCCTCTTCAGACTTGGAGAAAAATTGATCAATATCCTCTTAAACAGCCTTAACATATTTGAAGACTGTTATCAGATCCCCTCCACCCACAGTAATCTTTTCTGATGACTAAACTTCCTCAGTTTTTTTAACTTTCCCTCATAGGTCTGGTTTTCTAAACTTTTTATCATTTTTGTTTCTCTCCTCTGGACTCTCTCCAGTTTGTCCACATCTTTCCTTAAGCATAGTGCCCAGAATTGGACTCAGTAACTCCAGCTGAGACCTCACCAGTGCCAAGTAGAACAGTACAGACCTCAGCTGGGCACTACACTTTAGTGGACAAATTGGAGAGAGTCATAACATTTGCTGCCCAAATTTGAAGTTTCAAGAGACTTTGATGTTCTGGATAAAGTTGTGATAAGTATCCAAATGTTTGTGTGCGTTATTGCATCATCTGAATCTTTTCAGGGTCACCCATTTCTAGGAGTCGCATGTATGGACTGAAGGCAGCATCTGGCCCTCAGCACTTAGAAATATGGAGCAAAAAAGGAAATTAAGCCAACATTCTTGGCTTTAATGTTCTTTATTACTTCTTTTTCAGTTTAACAATAACGCTCAGAACGTCAGTTGCTTTAATCATCTTGTCCAAGCTAATGTGAGGAACAAGAAGAAGCTGAAAGAGGCAGTCTACAAAATCTCAGCTAAAGGAATCACTGACTACAAGAAAGGCTTTAGCTATGCTTTTGAACAGTTGCTAAATGTAAGTATTACAAAGTTTTCCCTCTGTGCTGTTATACTATTGATCTGTGATAATAGAACTTTAATGTCCAGATGGTCTCTTTGAATGCTCCACAAGTAGTAAACAGTGTGATATATTTTATGATGCAATTACTTAGCAAGCAAATGTATCCCATCAGCATGCTTTCCCTTAGTAGAGCTCCACTCAGCTTGATTTGTTAAGATTTGTGAAGGGGAAACTGGTTTGTCACTGTGATGTACTGTTTTTGTTTCACTTTGGGCTTCTTTTTTCAATGGGCTTTTCTCCCACTTGCCACATGGCTTCAGTACTGGCTGCATTGCTGCCAGTTTTCAAAGAAGAAAGTATGTTATTACATCTCAGATTAATATTTTAATTAAACCCTGGTTTAGAGTGTCCCTCAGTCATGTTTAATGCATCCACCTTTCCTGATTTAATTTATTTTATACCTAGTGCATGCTTGTCTGATTGCAAAGAAGTATTAGCTAGCAAAGGGATATTAGGTAGTGGAAAGAGACTGTTCCAAACTATTTAAAACATGGAAGGGAGAAAGAAATCAATCTCACCTGGGGGGAAATGCATTGGCTCCATCTTTTGGTTCTGTTACCTATTCCCATATTGCACCCACACAGTGTCTGTCTAATTAGTAGTGTAGTGAAATAATATTCCCAACTTGCCATAAATAGTTTATTTACTATTGTTTCTTTTAAAAATATTTAATGTACTTAATCAAAATACTTGTATAGTTCTGAATATTCAGAAAACAACTATGGGTCAGCTCTTCAGATGATGTAAATGGAGCTATGCCAGTTAACACCAGCTTATTATCTGGCCTACTAAACAGAATGGGCTGAATTCATTTCTGATGAAACATTTTTGACTCTAATGATCTCCTTCAATAGAGGCCTCCGTCTCTTTCTCCACTCATCAGCTACCTGCTGGACCTAGGCACCTCTCCTGTCACTCTGTATCATGCCATGGGAACAGAGCTGGTTGGAAAATTTCCATCCAACTGAAATTTTGATGGAAAAAATCAGTATAATATAATATTTTCAGACCAACTCAGTGTGGACGGGATAAAGGATTCAATGCCCTCTGCTGCTGATTATATGAAACTTTAAGCGGAAGGTTAAAATGGCTATTTAAATCATTTAGTCGAACTTGAGACTGATATCACTTCTGTCCCTCTCTGACTGTGGGCATGTTAGAGCAATAACAGAAGAAAGCTAAGAGGACACAAAGAGTTTTGTTTAGAGCTGTATGTTCCTCAGAGCAGAGACACTCTGTGGGTTATGTTTGATAGGGAACAGAGTATATTCTTAGCACTTAACAAATAATCACTCGGAAGTAGTAATAGAAGTTCTAATTTGAAAGTAATGAATACAGCAAAGTCATAAGATGAACTTGTTCTTAAAGCTAAATGCAAAGGTAAAGAGAAATAAAATACTAGAAGAAGATGGGTCGATGGTTGTTATTGGAAGAACGTGTATTAGTTGTTGCTGAGATTATGGGTATTTTGAGGCCCACAGAATGTTCTGTAAGCATGTGAATGATGGATGGATGTGGTGGACATGTATATTTGGGGAATTTAAGAGATTAGTGAGGTTAACGAATTGCAGTTGTCCACTCCAAATTCTGGCAGATACAACTGACTGGAGAAATAAAGAGCTGTTGATGGAGTCGGCTATAGACTCTAGAGACAAGCATATAAAATTACATGGGATCAGATAATGAAGATTTATAAAGATAACATGATTATGAATATGGTTATTTTTATTTTATGTTCATGATTTCAAACAGGTCAACTTAGTAATAAGTTCCAAGGATGCTAAATATTTTAAAAGGTCAAGGTCTTATTATAATTACGTAGACTGTGGATGACAAGCACTTGAACTCTTGAAGTGTTGCCTTCTTTGTGCCTAAAGGAAAATTCCTTTCTAGAAATATTGCTGGATGGAAATAAATATTTTAATATAATCTTTTAAATAAATTAAGGCACGCCATTAGTAACACTGATGTGCTGATTTGTGAGTCGATGTTATCTACTGTTCTTCTACATTATATTTGCAAAGGAATCTTTACTCAATGTTCTTTAGATTTGGTGGTACAATTAATTTTTACCCTATTGTAATGAATACTATAGAAGGAATTTTTCTGTAAATCACTTTGTGGTCTATTGTGATTCCAAGTAGGAGGTTTTTGCATTGCTTCACTTTTTTCTTCCCCAATTACATGAAAACTCATTGTGCAAGATGCATTCATAGAGTTTCATGCATCAAGCTATATTCCAGAAATAAAGGTAAGGGAACTCAATTTTTAAGGGTGTGATAATTATTTCAAAGTAAAGCAATTTTATCCACAAAATGAACATAGTAGCACCTTCATTAAAGAAAAAAAAAGATGGCTACCTATTTGCTTGCTTAGTTGAAGTTTAAAAATATAAAATAAAATAAAGAATGGAAGACATAGTTAGTATCCTTAGAGGGGGGGTGAGAAAGGTTTTTTTTTTAAAATAGAGAGACATCCTGTCATTATGTAGCATCAAGAAAATCATTCAGGTTTCTGATGTATTTTAGCACATTTTCATCTTCATCTGAGACACGATATTTCATCTTGTCAGAGGGTAGTATGAATTCTTTAATAGACGAATCTCTGACAAGATGAATCAAATCCTACAGTGAAAATGCAGAAAAGGTGTAAATTAAACTCACGTGTAAATTAATGATTTTTAACTTAGTTATAAGTCTCTAACATGGTGGGTGGCCAAACCATCACAATGGGCTGGACTGTGAATTTTACAACCAGCCCAGGCCATGTAAGGGAATCTGTGCCTTCCCTGCTGGCTCCTTGGGGTAGGAGAGGGAATGGAAATATGCCTGTTTTGAAGGGAATCCATAAAAGATTCCCCCACCCCTTGTGCAGGCCCGTACATTTGTGAGAGTGGAGCCTCCCACTCAGAGATTGGGGGGAGGGACAGCAGAAATGAAATAGCACCCCTTACACGTATTCAGTCAGACACAAGGTGCGCGCGTCTGCACACGGGCAGAGGAGAGTCTTCTTTTTCCCTATGCTGCTGGGAGGTTAAGTGGGCTGTGCTTAGGGTTGCCAGGCATCCGGTTTTCAACCGGAATGCCCAGTCGAAAAGGAACTCTGGCGGCTCTTTAAGTGCGGTCAGCGGTGCAGTGGGGGCCCAGGGCTAAGGCAGGCTCCCTAACTGCCCTGGCTCCGTGCTGTTCCTGGAAATGGATGCCAGTCTCTGTGGCCCCTAGGTGCTGGGGCAGCCAGGAACTGGGAGGCTCCGCAAACTGCCTCCACACAGAGTACCGGCTCTGCAGCTCCCATTGGCTGGGAACCACGACCAATGGGAGCTGCAGGGGGTGGCACCTCTGGGCACGAAGGCAGCACGCAGAACTGCCTGGCCGCCCATGCACCTAGAGGCCACGGGGACCTGGCAGCCGCTTCCTTGGAGCTGCATCCCCAGCCCCTCACACACCCCAGCCCAGCCCCCCCTCCTGTACCCCAAACCCCTAATCCCCGGCCCTAGCCCAGAGCCCATACCCCCTCCCGCACCCCAAACCCCTGCCCCAGCCCAGTGAAAGTGAGTGAGGGTAGGAAAGAGTGAGCGACGAAGGGAGTGGGGATGGAGTGAGCAGGGGTGGGGCCTCAAAGAAGGGGAGGACATGAGTGGGGCCTCAGAGAAGAAGCAGGGGTGTTGGGTTTTGTGTGATTAGAAAGTTGGCGAAAGGTTTAGATTGGATATTAGGAAAAACTTTTTCACTAAGAGGGTGGTGAAACACTGGAATGCGTTACCTAGGGAGGTGGTAGAATCTCCTTCCTTAGAGGTTTTTAAGGTCAGGCTTGACAAAGCCCTGGCTGGGATGATTTAACTGGGAATTGGTCCTGCTTCGAGCAGGGGGTTGGACTAGATGACCTTCTGGGGTCCCTTCCAACCCTTATATTCTATGATTCTATGATTCTATGACCCTAGCTGTGCTGTAATATAGATTGATGTAATTGACAGGTAAGGAATGTTGCATAAACCTGCTCACTAACACAGGGTTCATGAAGATAAACCCAGAAGGAACAGGAAAGAGAGGAAAAGCTCCTCTTGTAGTTGCTTAGACTACCCCACAAAGGGACTCTAGGGAAACAGGGAAAGTATGGTCGTACAGAATAACGCTACATCACAACGCAGGAGACGACTGTTAATACATAGCAAATATATATTATATTTTGCAATATTGGCTATCTAGATATAGATATGAAAAATATATCACCAATATTGCAAAATGTATAATTAAATATAAAATAGAACATTTAGTTATATTTAAACTAAACAGGATGTACGGATAATATGATTTCTTGTATTTATAGCAATAGATTTGATAAAGTGTGCAATTAATTATATATTCTGGAGAAAATTCTTCTCTAAGTAGCAATGGTGTTAATGCAGAGTAAACGCCATTTATTGCAGTGTGAAGAGAGATCCTGTCCCAACACACATGAACCCATTATTATATAAACACAAATCTGTTATAAAATATCATGCTTTAGTATGGCTATGGTATGAAGCATACATTTTCAATATATATATAGTATTTAAATAATACACACAGGCACCAGTTTCATACCACTTCTTTCCTTTAGGAGACAGTAGGCTGTCCTGCAGTCACTGTGCGGGACACGCTTATTTTTACTGGCAGAACCCCCTTTTCCCTCATCCTTTCAGCAAGAGAGTGAAGTTAGACCTCCTTTGCCCTAGTGAAAGAACCAACGCTGTACATCAAGATGCATATGTGACAAACTACAGCAACCACCCAATTCCAATATAATCACCATCCTCCCTTCCCGTTCCTTCTCCCCTTAGTTTCAACCACTCCTTACAGCCTGATCTGGGCAAGATTTCTGTTAATGAGATTGCATGTGACAATGGCAGGGGACCATTTTTTAATCTACATTTGTATATTGTTGGGTCTCCAGTCCTGATTGGCTGATAAAAATGTAAGTTTCCATTACATCTATCAATTCTATCTAAGCACCATAATACATGTGCTAATAGTCCCACAGTAAGCTCTTGTGGGGTAGGAACAGTAAAGTACTTTGCACTCTTATGATGTTATATAGATGCACACTAGATGTCTAACTTAAACCACCAAGTAAGTCAGTACAAAATTCGGCCCAGTAGAACAAAGACCAAATCTGTTTTACCTTACTCGTGTAGGTTGTCCTTTTAAATCAATGGAACACCTTGTGAGAGTAAGGTGACCAGGATTTGGGCCTCCAGTCAATCATAGAATCATAGAATATCAGGGTTGGAAGGGACCCCAGAAGGTCATCTAGTCCAACCCCCTGCTCAAAGCAGGACCAATTCCCAGTTAAATCATCCCAGCCAGGGCTTTGTCAAGCCTGACCTTAAAAACCTCTAAGGAAGGAGATTCTACCACCTCCCTAGGTAACGCATTCCAGTGTTTCACCACCCTCTTAGTGAAAAAGTTTTTCCTAATATCCAATCTAAACCTCCCCCACAATTATTTGTGTGGTGCCCTTATGAATTTATTTTGGAATGTATTAAATCATTAAGCAGGTAGGTGTTTTTCAATATTTATAAAGTACCTGTTCTAGTTTTATTACTTTTTTAATATAAAAAAGCAGCAGCCCAAAGCAATGTATTGTATATTGTATTTTACAAGCAAAATTGATCCTCCATTTTCTATTTCCAAATCAAACTTACAGTGGTGACAGGAGTGATATTAATGCAATGATTTCAAATTTCTTTATTCATCATTACTGGTAAGAAAATTCATAAGGCTCAGTTCTGTCCTTCATTAGACAGAGGCACCTCTTGAAAACTGAGCTTCTGATGTCAAAAGGTCCATACAGAATTAGATTTAGTAAAAATGCAGTAATAGCAAATAAAGAATTTTGATTTGTTAATGCCAGAATTTGCTGAGAGTACTATAGAATTATATAATTAAGTAGCTGCACTAGTGAGGACCAGATCATTACATTATGGTCTCTCCTCTGTTAGGGACATTGCACAGCTTCAGCACCCCAGGAGCATACCGCTGGATGACTTGTGATGCAGAGGGTCAGAATTTCTCCTCACTTCTCCCTTGTTTTCATTGTAGAAAAAGTTATGTCACCTTTTTTCATGAGCAGCTTGCTTCTCCCTGTTGCTCTGCCAGCTCCATTGACTAGTGAATTAGGGATCTGAACCAGGGCTCCTCCCAATCCCATCGCCTCCCAGCCTGCTTGCTTACAGAGAGGAATCTGGGGTGCGCAGCACCTCCCCTCCACTGGTGTTGCAATTGAACAGGAGACTCAGAGGAGCAGGGGTTTTCTTGTTCCCCCAAGTACCCAGGTAACCTTGGTGAAAACCTACCCCACTTTGTGTAAGCTGGCAAAACGTGTGCTCTGGTGTAAAAAAAAAAAAAAAAAAAAAAAAAGTCAGCAGATATAAAAGAGGAAAACTGAGCTGATTCTGAAGAAATGTAACAAAAAATAAAACAAAACAAAACATGGTCCTGAGTTTGTAAGACTTAAATGTAAGGGTAAGTTCACTGGGAGCTGAGTGGTAATTTACCTTAGATTTTTGGTTTGTTAAGGACTAATTTAGTGGCCAGAAAGTTTGACTGGCTCAGCACTTGAGACACTCATTGGACTCCCATGAGTTGAAGCATCAATGGCCACTTCAAATTTCCAGAGCGTGGAAGGAAGGAGGGAGTCACGTCAAATAAACCTGAAGGGTAGAGTGAAAATGCCCTCTTTTTTGAACTGCGTATGCAAGATATCCACTGCCTGAGTCACATTCAGGCATCCAGCGAAGAGAATTTGGGATCATGGTTTGATCTGCATGTTTTGTTTTAACAAATATACAATTTACTTCCACCCCAAACAACCCCATTCATGCAGCTCCCTTATGCTTCTTTGGGTGGAACATACCTGATTACCACAATGTTGCTTTTGGTCAGATCTGAGGTGTACCATAATTTGGCTCTTAAAGAGTGAAGGAAGGCTCTGTCAGTAGTGATGCACTAATAATACTAATATCTTGGTGACAAAAAGCAGGATATAGACTTAGAAATACTAGAGTTGGAGGCAGACTTATTGAGTGAAATCCTAGCTCCATTGAGGTCAGCAGGAGCTTTGCCATTCTCCATTGCTGGGTCCTAGAGCCCAGCCTCTGGCCCAAGCCTGAAGGTCTACACTCCTGTTTTATAGCCCCTCAGCCCAAGACCCACGAGCCCCAGTCAGCTGACCAGGGACAGCCAGGGAGGCCATTTTATTGCAGTGTAAACATACCCAATGAGGTCAGGTTTTAACGCATTAGTACTTAAGTAATGACAGGTTTCAGAGGAACAGCCGTGTTAGTCTGTATTCGCAAAAAGAAAGGAGTACTTGTGGCACCTTAGAGACTAACCAATTTATCTGAGCATGAGCTTTCGTGAGCTACAGCTCACTTCATCAGATGTTTACCGTGGAAAGTGCTTTCTTCTGCACAAGGCATAAAAAAAAGAGGCATTCCTTGCCCTTCAGAGCTCAACTATGTTTCTGGGAACTATATTACACTTCTGCATTTTTTGTGAGAGCCAGAACTAAAAGGATACTTCTCTTTGAATCTCTTACAGCACAGTGTCTCTAGAGCTAACTGCAATAAGATCATTATGTTGTTTACTGATGGTGGTGAAGAAAGAGCACAAGAGATTTTCCACAAATACAACAAAGACAAAAACGTAAGTGGCTTTTGTATGAAGGTATGACGATGCCTAATGGGGACAGTTAGGTGGTTTCTGGAAAAAAAGCTTGTGTTTTATAAGTGTTCAAAATAACTGGTATCTTTGAGATGCAAGTATTGAATAATACACCATCAGAAATTTTACCAGTGAAAATATGATGGAATTATTAAATAATATTTTGCATTTCTACACTGCCTACCACCCATGGATCTCAAAGCTTTTACTCCTGGGGGAAATTCTGCCCCAACACATTAAAAATTCTGCACCAAAAAAATTAAAAACCCTCCACGTTCACTCCCACAAAGTATTTTAAAATTCTGCAAAATTCTGCATATTTTATTTGTCAAAATAACACATTATAAGCACACCAGTTTCAATTATTTTTGTCATTTATTTCAAAACATCTATCAACAAGTTTGTGACAATACAGACAAAAAAGATTCAGGAAATGTTTTTTTTTTTGACAAATAGTTCCCTTACTAGGCATATTCATACAGAACTTTGAGTAATAATTAATTTAAACTACAATAAAAAACGTATTTCCCATACCCCTCAGAAGCCGTGCATAGGCTTAGGGAAACCCAGGGTAACAGAGGAGCTGTGGGAGAGGGAAGTAATTGCTGGGAAGGAACCTGGGAGTGAACCTGGAGGATGTTGGGTGTGGGTGGGAGAAGATTGGAACAGGGTTTTTTTGGGGGGGAAGGCGACTGTTGGGGAGCCTCCCCCATGCAGACCCTGGCTGATCCCTAGTCTCTCCCAATCAGTCAGACACCTGTCTCCGTGTGTCCCTGCACCCCCACTCAGCCATCCCCACCTCCCAGTGTCCCTCCACCTCCACTCCCATTCAGAGCCTGTGCCAGACTGTCCTCCCACTAGCCCTTCTGAATTCCAGTCTGTGTGACCCCCCAAGCAGCCCCATGTGCCCACTCTGTCTGTTTCCCCCCCACTTCCATATCCTGTGCCTCCTTACCTGGCCCCGGAGGCAGGGCACTGTGAGATGCGCAGCCTCTGTTCTCTCCCTATCGACTGCTGACTGCTATGGCCAGTGAGTGGTGAGCCTGCTGCCTCTGCTCTGGTGCCACAGCAGGCCGTGGTGGGCAAAAGGCACAACTGCAGAGCCTCTCCAGCAAAATGTATTTTCTGCTGAGAAAAAAGATCTGCAGGATACATGAATTCTGTGCATGCGCAGTGGCACAGAATTCTCCCAGGAGTACTTTTTGTAAACCATAATGCATTAAGCTTTCTTGTAACCACAGTGCTGTAGCTATTATCCCTGTACTACAAATGAAGAACGTGAGATACAGGAAAATTTAGTGACTTGCTGAAGGCTGCACAAGTCACCTCTGTGCATGTGGGGAGAGACACACTTGCACACTCTTTCCCCTTTTTCCCCACTGGCATTCCTGTGTTAAGCAGTGAGCCATTTGTTTTCCTGACTGTATGTAATACCCATACAAAACAGACGAAAAGTTAAGGGAGTTTTGTACATGAACATTTATTTACCTAAAGCTTTCTGGATCACAGGTTTGCAGGGCTGTAGCTCTGGCTAATAGTTCCTAATAATGCCATTTCACCACTCTTCTCTGTTTTGTTTATCTCTGTTGATATGTACACCTCCACAGCTGATATTTTCTTTGTAATAGCAATTAATATTTTTTAATCTAGCAGACATAGACCTAAGTAGATAGGATAGCTAGAAACTGAAGTTACATACATTCAGACTAGAAATAAGGTGAATATTTTTAACAGTAAAAAACTGGAACAGGTTACCTAGGGATGTGGTAGATTCTCTGTTACCTGAACTCTTTAAATCAAGATTACACGTCTTTCTAAAAGATGTGCTATAGTTCAACCAGGACTTATGGACACAATGCAGAAATCACTGTCTCAGATTCTATGAGTCATGTTATTCAGGTCATGCTGACTCCTCACCCAATATATTTCAATATAAGTTTCTTCATAATTAAGATAATTAACTCTCCCAATGTCCCCTGATGGGTCTGTAGTCAGTATAGTGCAAGTAGCTGGGAATCAGGGCCCCAGCTCAGCAAGGTGCTTGCTATCTTTAGCACATGTACAGTCCCTTTGGCTATTCATGTGCTCAAAGTTGGGCATGTACCTTGCTGAACTGGGGCCCAGGAACCCAGGGCTCCGTTTCAGTCTCTGACCATGACTCACTGTGTGACCCTGAAAAAGTTCCTTCACTTGTTTTCGGCCTAGCTCCCGATCTGCAGTATGAATATAAAGCCTCCCTTACAGTGGTGTTACGAGCTTTAGTTAATCTTTGTGTAGTACTTTAAGACTTTTGAATGAAAGACAGTCCATAAGTACGAAGTATTTTTAAAAACTGGTAATTAACAATAAGCTACGTTGCACTTACAGCTGGAGTTGTAGTCACTCAATTCTAAGGCATACTGACTATGCAGCCTTCTCATGGAAATTTCATGTTATCCTATCTCTTTTCTGTGTCTGATAGCATTTATTATAACACAACGAAACCAAAGGAAAAGTTACTAGATAACATTGTGTGAAAAGCATGAATAAGCGTGATTCATTTCTTAGTGTTTTCCATTTGCAATTGTGTTTTAGGATTGGAAATAGGGTAAAATGTCCAGTCCTAAGACAGGTACAGTTTTATAATGCTAAGAAATGAATCACACACTATCCTGCATTGTGTCCAACTACTCAACTTTAAGAAAGACAACAAATTCCTCAGCCATGCATGGGAAATGAAATGTGTGGGTATTGTCCATCACACAATTTGTTACTGCATATTAAATAAGATTTGTGGATGATAATGGCCACTTTGTTGAAACATATGTCACAATTAAGCACATTTTCTGATATTAATTGTAATGCAAGCGACTCATATCTGATTAATTTTATAAATCTGCTGATTTAAGTTTCAGTAAATGCCAACATTCCTTTTCCTTATCTAATAATGTACTAGCAAAAATGTCTGTATTCTTGCTTGTAATGACCCAAAGTAATTTTGAAAGTACAAGGAGCACAGTTTTTGATATGTGCCTTGTAAAAAGCACAAGGTTCATTCAAGAAAAAAGAAAATGCTTCTTCAATCAAGTAAACATCTTCACATTCTTGAAGGTGAATTAGTGGTTGCAAAATATAATTAAAGACATTTAAAAATATATTACAGCAAAAGATAGAATGAGGGTAATCAGTGATTTGTATTGGCAAATTCATCTATGTGAAATCATACTACAAATAACCATGTTATTGTAGCAAAGTTCTGGTGTTTCTCAAAGTAATATCTTAATGCAAAAGTTATTAGTAGTAATTCAAGGGCTCATGGTCTATCTGATGTCAAGGATAAGCATTATTTCTGGAATGCTAAATGTGTATACGTATCTGTGTCTCTCTTTCTCAACATCTATAATTAAAGTTTAAACTGGCAGAAGATAAAAGTAAAGCCACTGGCACATGCATTCCAAGATTAGAAAATTAATATTTTGTCTTGCAAAGAAATCGCCACGGAGAATAATGTAGTCTTTTAAAGACTATATAGTAAGCTGTGTTCATGCAAGAAATGATAAAACTCCTCACTGGTTATGATTATGGTCCAGATTCTAGTACTTTTACTCCAATCTACTTATGCCACAAGTAGTCATTGAACTTAATAGGGACTAAGTTTCAGACAGAGATTCTATTCAAGATGACAGGTTTCAGCCGTGTTAGTCTGTATCAGCAAAAATAACGAGGCGTCCTTGTGGCACCTTAGAGATTAACAAATTTATTTGGGCATAAGCTTTCGTGGGTTAGAACCCACTTCATCAGATGCATGGAGTGAAAATACAGGAGCTGGTATAAATACATGAAAGGATGTGGGTTGCTTTACCAAAAGTGAGGTCAGTCTAACGAGATAAATCAATTAACAGCAGGATACCAAGGGAGGAAAAATAACTTTTGAAGTGGTAAGAGAGTGGCCCATTACAGACAGTTGACAAGAAGGTGTGAGTAACAGTTGGGAGAAATTAGTGTTGGGGAAATTAAGTTTAGGTTTTGTAATGACCCAACCACTCCCAATCTCTATTCAGGCCTAAGCTGATGGTATCCAGTTTGCAAATTAATTCCAGTTCTGCAGCTTCACATTGGAGTATGTTTTTGAAGGTTTTATGTTGATAACATTCAAAATCCAGTCGGAGAACACTTCAGTCTCTCTGGTCACTCAATAACTGACCTAAAAGTGGCAATTCTTCAACAAAAAAACTTCAGAAACAGACTCCACCATTATTCAAGATGTTATGTTATCAGAATCTGCTTCTATGTATTTTTCAGTAATAGCATTACAGAATAAGAAAATGCAGCTGAGCCATGTCATGCACACAAGACAGAACCAAGTAGTGGTATATTTTCTTGAATGATGTGCATTCATGTTTGAGCATTTCTCCCTATGCTTAGCAAAAGGGTTGTAAAAGAAAAATCTTTATGTTGTTCACTATTGTAGCATAGTACAGTGAATCACTGTTACCTTGGAGATGTAACTTTTTTGGCTGCCAGTCTGAGATTGTGGAATGAACTCCCTGAGGAAGTAGGGGCCATCACAAACCTCTCCTCTTTCTACTCCAAATGCAAGGCACGTTTCTTCAACCTTGTCTTCTCTAACATAAATATACATTTAAAAAAAACAAAACCCCAAGACACTACACTATGCACAATTCTCTCCCTGGGGAGAGGAGAGAGAACAAACAACAGACGATAGATTTTAATCACGTTGCTTAATGCACTACTGGAAGATGCTCAGATACTATATTAATGACTGCAGTATAAGAATGCCTATATGAAGAGAATAGAATTAGTTATAATGTCATATATACCTTATGGTGGAAGACTTATTGCCTGTGTATTGTACAAAAAATGCCATCTTCCCCTTTACTCAAATCAGATCTCGTTACTCCATATTGTTGCTTCCTGTCCAAGCTGAACTCACTTTAGTTCTCAGAGTATTTCCTTCTTGGTGTCAATCGCTTTGTCATTCT